TCACACCATCCTCACCGTCTCTCTGCAAGGGATGCACCAGACCTTCTGACATATGGCTCTGCTCTACTAATTACCTCTTTGGTTCTGAACTGTTATAGCCGCTCATCACATGGAACTGTTTGGAATTTCGACCAGAATAATAGTGTTGAACCTACATAAAATTGCTTTCTTTTTTTTTTTTTTACATTCGTCTGGACTACTTTTGTTGGTGCAACCTTTGCCAAACTGGAGCAAAAATAATATGGGCTAATACCTTTTGGGTGGGTGTATTTCCTCTTGTTTGGGTGAGAGCAGCTTGAAGGAAGACTGTGACGACACGTAAGTGGGAGAGAGTATGGTCTTCTTTTTTTAGGGAGGTGTGAGAGGTGGGGAGGGGACCATATGCTGTCCCCAGCTTGCAGTTGCCACGCCAATGGCCCCCAACATCTTAACACATTTTGACAATGTGTCAGCTGAGCTATACCCCTGGTTGTGCGTGAAGGTGCGATGGTGTTATTGTGCATGTGCTGTCTGTGATCATGATGTACAATAAACAATAGTTTCCTTACATCCTTTCCCCGCCCACCCATCCACCCACTCTGCAGTCACCTTGTTCTCTCAGCTCGCCAAGGCCAACTTTCTTTAAAGTCATGACGCAAAGTTAAAAACCCTTGCAAACTCAACCACGGAGATTTGACTACACTGCAAAAATGGAAACTATTTCACTGAGTCTTTAGCCTCTGTTTCTTACTGTTACACAAGCAAACGCCCACCAACACATGCATTCTTCGTCAAGGTCAAGATGTGGACAAGGATTCTTTTGTGAAAGTCGGACTAACATTGGGATAGCGAGTACGTAAATGGGCACCAAAGGAAAACATTGCACTTGCAAACTTGCTGTAACTCATAGGTATCCTATTTTGGCATAAAATATTATATACGGTTTCCTAGCAAGTGTTCATACCCTTTGGAGCTGCTATGCAGGGGACAGAGTAAAAGTGTAAAACATGGTGCTGTGGTTAAATCAGATCAAGGCTGGACTTTTTTAACCAGCATTCTACATCCCTACTGTGATCAGTGGTGGTGGCAGCATCGTGCCCTTGGGATGTTTTTTCTTCATCAACAGAAAAAAAAAACATCTGAGAAATATCTCAGAAGTGAAGATGGAGGGACAAAAACAGTGCAAAACTTGAGGTGGAGTTTGACAAACCAGGACAGCGAAGTTAAACATAAAGTCAGAGCTACAATGGACTCGTTTTAGTACAAGTATAATAGAAGGTTCAATTCTAAGGTCTAAGTTTGGACTTAAATCGACGAAACGGCTTAGAGACTAATGTTTAAAGAAATTCAAAATGGCGGAAGAAGGTGAGCTGGTTTGCAAAGAACAACGACAGAAATACCCAGGCGACTTTTGTGATGATCTACGAAATAAAATTCCAATCAAAAATATTTTTTAAAAACAAACACAGGAGGAAGTTGAGAATACCTTTGAAACTGTTTCCTGCACCTTGAAAACTCTGATGCATTTTTATGGACGCCCAATATCATTTATAATGCTAATGTGGGAAATGAAATTAACCGAGTAAGAGTAATTATCCCTGTATAATGAGTTATAGTAGGTTACTTATCTGCTTTGAACCAGAATGGTGAGAGTTTGTCAGCGCTCATTGAAAAACTCTAGACGACTGAAGATAATGTCAGAATGAGGTTTTTGGTTATAGCATGGATGTCTGGTGAAGTTGGAAATTGTGACTTTTTTTTTTTTTTTTCTTTCCACACTAAGAAAATATCATAAAGTTCCTGCACTCACTGAGCATAGTCCCGCCTGCAGAAAAGTTTCCGGTCCCGCAGAAAGCAGGAATTCCTGAGCGGGTCCCCGCACGCCGCGCACCGCACGCACTCCTCATGCCAGAGGCCATCACTGACTCTGAGGAGAAACCTGTCTCTGATCGGCCGGTGGCACCCAGCGCACACTGCCTTCTGATCCATGCCTGCAGGGTTCAGAGGGGGAGCTCCTTTGACGAGCGGGCTTTCAACAAAATCAGCGTATCTGGGAAAAAGAAAAAAAAAAAAAGAAGAAGAAGAAGAAGAAAAAACTCATTCAGATCGATGCACCAATCATCACTTGGATAAAATGTTTGAATGCAATACAATTTCCGTAACGTCAGAATTGCATTTATTTTATTTCATACGTGTCTGCTAATTTCAATACTCATCGCAAAGGCCTTGAAAAGAAATATTTTTTGAAATATTACGATAAAATAAATAAATGTTCACATAGCCGTTCTCTAAGCCTATATGGTAGAAACTTTATTTTACTTTATTTCTTTTTTTACTTTTTAAGAAATTTAACAGACATAAAGCACTTTCAATAAACTTTTGCCACTAATGCTCTGAGGTAGAACTTACAACAGTATTACAATGACACACATTACCTGTGATATGCGAATTTCTCTTAAAGGAAAAAAAAATAATAATAATAATAATAATACTTTGGTTCACAAAATCCCACGTCTTGTACGGAGCATCTCCGGCGCTCAGGATCCCGCTGCTGCGGCTTGCTGCCGAGCGCAGAGCCGCTCATCAAAAGTTTCTCCTGGGGGGTTTCCACTCAGAGTCCTCTACAAGCGTCCACTCCCATCCAGTAAAAAGCCTGCGCTGCTCTATCAATTATCCTATTATCGGAGAACAGGAAAGAAACAGAGAGCTGTGCATACTTCCTCCATGTGCAGGTGCAGGTTACCTCTTTCCAAGTCTCCCCCTCCTCCTTCGGTCGCTTTCTCTCCCCCTGCAGTTCACTACTTTCTCCACTCTGAATTCCTCTGAGGCAGCAGCACTCTCTTTTTTTTGTTGCTCAATAGATAGATAGATAGATAGATAGATAGATAGATAGATAGATAGATAGATAGATAGATAGATAGATAGATAGATATCAAAATGTATGAATTGTCATAAACGTTAAATCAAATTTCGATTAATTAGTTTGTTTATTACCCTGTTATTCTTATTTTATGTAATGCAGCATTTTGTCAAATGAGTTTGTCAATAATAAAAAGATGTGTTTCATGTTTAGTTGTGCTTTCATAAGCTGCAATCAGGAGCAATGAAATTAAACTAAGGGGGAAAACCAGTGTTGACAATGACAATGAATGAAATCCAAGATGTTAAAGGTACAAAAACGCAAATATAGCTCCTTAAAATATTACTTGAATTTTTTAGGTCTCTCTGCCTCTGAAGTTGGCACATCCACAAGTTGCAGTGCAGCTATGTAAGGACAGTCAATGATTAACCACATATCTTCTTTGTCTTAGTCTAGCCAGGTCTCCAGCCACACCTGAACTGGCTAGTAAACTGTTTCTGTGCATCTATATTGTAATCAAAGTACTTTTTCAAAGAAAACTTAAAAGTAAAGGGTTCTCTTTAAATCTCCCTCAATACACAACTGTTTAAAAATAATAATTTTTAACAATCCCTCAAGAGTGCAGGAACTCGTTCCATTAATTATTGTTTATGTTAAACCAACATGTAAAGGTTTGGTGAAGTTATTACAAAAACAACCTTGTTTTAAAATTTAGGGTCATGTTTTTGGATGAATGAAGACATTTCTTCAAGTTACGACATCTTTCTGTGTCTGTGTTGACTTGGACAGCTTTGGAGGTCTTATTAGCCTACTGAAAGGTCCATTAATGATCAGTTCTCGGTCTTCTGTCCACCAGAATATAGTTCAAGACCCTCATGTTACTTTAAAGAGTTTATGATGAAAGAGAAAGAGACCCTCAGTATTGGTCAGCTGACCAAAACAAACGGTTCAAAAATAAAGGGCCAGTCCCCCCCAAAAAAAGAAGAAAAAAAAACAACAATCAGCAAACTCTATGTTTACTTTTGTGACAGTAGAAGAGAAAATGCTTTTTTTTCTGATAAAATTTCCAAAAATGAATTTGGCATTTGGATAGTCTACTGGAGTTTGAAGAGAACTGGGGGCATGCTGCAGTTCTTTAACTTTAAATGCTGGACATATTTGTGCCTCCCTCACAATTCTCACCCCTGTTCCTGATGATGAGAATAATTTTGGTCCCATCCATCCTCAGTGAAATAGATTGTTTTGTCATGTCATACAGTATTTACACCCAAGGAAAAATGTAATAATAATAATAATAGTAATAAAAAAAAAACGAAAAAGGGTTCTTAAAAACTGTGATGTAAAGTAAAGAAAGTGTCTCAGTTACATGTATTTTAAAGCTTATTTTAAAGCATACATGTGTTCTTCAAAAGACATTGTATGGGTGACAAACATTTGTTTATGCCCCCTACAAATTATTTCTACTCAATAAAGCTTGGATATTTCAGAGTTTTCAGTGTGAGATTAATTATATTTACACAGTTCCACTCGGGGTGGCAATAAAGCTGTCTACATCTGTAGGTGTGTAGGTGTGAGATCTGAGGTTCATGCTTTATTGAAAACCACTTTGAAGAGTTTTAATTGATTGTTTTGATGAGACTGGACTCAATCAGCTGAGAAAATGTTCTAATAGGCCATTGGAGGCGATTGAACGAGTTCTGCATAATTAAATTCAGCCATTGGAGTAAGAGTGAATTGTATTGCACGTTTTGGAACACTTAATAATAAGCATCATAATCTTTTAATATTTTATGAAAAAAAAGTGGGTATTGCTTATTTCAATCTATTTAATTTTGCCATTCAAAATTACTAAAAAACACAATCCCCCCCTCAAAAAATAAATAAATAAAAAATAAAACTGTCTCTAACTGTCCTTGGATGTCCTGCAGCTGAACCACGAAGCTAGAAAAAGATCCATGAGTCTGCACACACACACACCCACGCACACGCACACACACACAAACACACGTCCCAAATACTGTGAGGCACTTTATTGGCGCCCTCTCGTGGACGAAACCTGGTAAAGGTGTTGCCAGATTCAATTTTTCACTTTTCATTCAATAATCTGAGAAAAAAAAAAAAAAAAACAAAAAAAACCTTCAGAATAAATAACACATTTCACTCACATTTTAAATAACTTTATTCTGTAAGAAGCTTTAAACGTGTTCTTTTATGAAATGTTTTTTTTTTTTTTTGTTGTTTGTTTTTTTCTCTCTCTTAGAATAAAATTATTCCTCTGTAATTTGCATTGGGATGCTTTTAAAACAAATACAACAAATCATCTATTTACAAAATCTGTTACCAAATCTATCAGAATTTGTGTGCATATAGGATTCTCCTCCAAACAACTGGAAAATATCACTGTTACTTTAATCACATTGCTTTACTTGGTAGAAAACAGTTTAACAGTTTCGATCAAGTCTCTCCTTTTTTTCTTCAATCCATCTTCACATCGCTCACAAGGTGGGGGTATTTACAGGGGAAGGGGAGAGGAGGACTGGTGTCATGTGATCTGATGCGGAGCCTCCAGCATCTCCATCAGGAAAGTGTCAATGGGCGTGTCCCCGATTAGTTTAAAGAAGAACAGATGCTCCAAACACTTGAGGCCGATGGAGCGCAGAGCTGGCAGGCGCAGCAGCAATTTGGCGAACCTGCAAATGATAAAAAAAAAAAAAAAAAATCTAGTTTCAAAAATTATCTTCAGACATCACCTAAATAGTAATGAGGAAAATAATCCTGCTCTTCAGGCGACAAGCTGTTTGAGACATGCCCATCGAGGGAGGCTACATTCAAGCTCAAATATTGTTCAAATTGTTTAAAATATGCTGTTACCACAAACTATTTTACAGTGATCAATGACATTAAACCACAATACGATGACATGAAGTTTGTAGCTGAAATATAGTAAAATGTAGAAGAGATAGAGTAAAAACTGTTTAAAACAATGTTACAGTTAAATGTATTCACAATATAAGATAAAACCATCAACTGGGAAAGTGGGCACGTCGTCCTCCTGATGGCTTCTATTTAATTGACTGAAACATTTAATGTCTTCTGATTATAATATCCACAGTGCAATAACTGGAACCCATATATTATGGTGTGAGTGCGACATTTCCCACCTGCCAGGCTGGTCGGGGTACTTCTGTTTTGTATACGACTCCAATGACGCGTAGACTTTTTCCCTTAGTGCCTCCACCTCTGATGGGTTTGACAAACCTTTTGCATCTAAAACACAACAATCCAACATATGTTTTAGTCCAGCGCAGTACTGAAAGGTGCAAAATGCCGCTGTATTCGAGTGCGGCCCAGACTGACCTGGGTTGAATAGGACGATGGCTCGCAGGCAGCCCAGCTCTGTCTTATCCATCTGCATGTCTTTCATTTTGGAGACCAACTCTGTGAGGACTCTGCAGTCAAAGATTTTCACGTCAGCAGGATAAAAATGTCTTTTAAAACAAGTGTTCCACAAAAAGACGCAACGTAAATTTTAACTGAGTAGTCTTAGGCCGTTCCTGTGAGACTCTTTGGAGTTTGCATCTTCGATATAAACATTTTAAGCCAGAAAGGCCTCCACAGGGCTTTGACAGATTTTCAGTTTCCATATATTTCCAGACTGAAATTTCAAATGATTTTCTGAAGTACTTTAGAACATTTTGGACTTTTTTAAGCGCAAAAATAATTTACCCTTATTTCTGAAGTACTTTCTGAAGGGTCTCTTACCTGTCGAAGATGGATCCCACTCCTGCACTGTGGGCGCTACTTCTGTGCACGTGTAGACCTGTAGCCAACAGGATGCCGTCTTTAACCGTGACTGAGCGATGCGAGAAAGAGGCAATGAGCAGCTCGTTCCAGCCTGGACAAATAAATAAATGAATGAATAAATAAATAAATAAATAAATAAATAAATAAATAAATAAATAAATAAATAAATAAATAAATAAATAAAGACATATTGACTATATTATGCATTAGATTTTTTAGCAAGATTGGTTGCTTTTGTCTTTTTTCTTTTCTGCGACTCCCTTTATTCATGGCACGTGTGCAAGCTCTCCCACCAGTAGGGGTCAGTGTAGCGGATGCTGCACACTGCACTAGTGGGACTTGGCTAGTGCAGTAAATATTCCAGTTATATTTGCTTTCACTGCTCTATAAAACCAGGTGGGAAAAACATGTCGAGCAAATGTAACAGACTGAAGTAGACAAAATGTATGTATGTGTTTTTAAAAATGTCTTTACTGGTTTCACGTGTTTATTTTTCTGCGCAGCTGAGCCTGAATGAGCGCGCGTACCTGCTCGAAGCAGGATGACCTGGTCGTCCAGAGGGAGCTCAGAGAAGTGTGGGATCCTTTTGGCCCACTCCACCAAGGTGAAGAGCTGCTTGTCTGCTGCCTGGCAGATATTAGTGACGGGGTCGTTGGTCTGGAGAGAAACATGGAGGAAGGAAGCCCACACGACGCAGTTAATACCTGAGCTTGCGAGCTCCTGCATTGTGACTCACAAAGTCACAGTGACCACAGTCAGTGAGCAGGTGTGGGCGTAGCTATGTTTAGCTACTTCGTAAACCAGCAGCTTCCTTTCATGACTCGAGACTCTTGAAATAGTCTTTAATTTGAAAAGAAACTATGCACAATAATTCTTAATAAAACAGCGCCTTGTAAAAGTATCCACATCTTGTTGTTTTTTTGACATTTCGTCACAGTTCAACTGTGATCCGCAACAGTTTATAATGATGGTTAAACACAAAGAGCACCTATTTAGAAAATGGAAGGAAATTGTTTAAAAAATGTACACAGGGCAGACGGGTCAAGGAAAAAGTTGAGGAGAAGTTTTACGCAGATTCAGGTTATGATCCCATATTCCAAGCTTTTCAAACCAGATTCACCTTCCAGCAGGAAAACAGCCATTAATATGCAGCTAGATCTGCAAAGAGTCTCTTTATTCAGTGTGACAGAGTTTGAGTTATTTTGCAAAGACTGACCAACATAATTTTTCTCTAAGTGTGCAAAGTAGGAAGTGATAGCATCAATGCATCTGACCTTTTTTATTCTGTAAGATATTTCAATCGGACTTCGGAGTAAAGATTATGACATCCGTAAGTCTAAATTGGATTTAGTCTCTCAAGCTGCTTAACCTGGCTAACCTTTGATTAACTCATCAAGCAATCTTTTATCAGTGTTTATAGACTCGATTCCCTTCTAAACTCGTTTCAGCTTGGATTGGTCGGGTTCTTTTTGTTTAGCTTCATAATCTGTAATACACGTCGCTTCCTCGCCAGTTTGTTGATCCCTATAGATGGATACAGCACATATTGTGGAAATAGGAGCTTTGTATTAATTAGTCTCTTAGATCCTTACCGAGTTTCCGGGGCTGCCATCGCTGTACGTCTCCGTTTTGGGCTCCACAGCCAGCTCAGCATCCAGGATCTTTTCCACCGGCATGTCGTCGTTGAAACTGCTGGTGGATTCCACCTCGTTCTCGCCACGCTCCTTCCCGCGCTGCCTCTCTTCCTGCACGGCTGCACACACACCCACACCCAAACACGGAGACACACACAAAACATCCATTTAAATTCAAGCTTTTTAAACACAGATATGTGAGCTTATGAAAAAGTGTGTCGAACGACTGACGGTACTTTGAATCAGACAAACTGGCCTCATAATATCCCATGTTCCAGTTTATTGAATATGACTTTTACACTTTGTTGAAGCACCTACTGATTTATTTTTTTAGCACCTAGTCTACTTTGGAGGGAGTTTATCAGCATCCCACATCCTGAAGTGTTAATATTTGACCACTCTGCCTTGGAGACGTCATTCAGATCTGTCAGACAGTGAGGACATCTCCTGTCCACAGCTCTGTTGTGGTGACCCTACAGATCTGCTGTCAGATTTAGTTCTTGATTCTGTCTTGGCAATTTCAAAGCTATTCCAATGATGAAAATGCTTTTTACTTTTTAATTGATTTGAATACACACACTCCTTCCTCACCTTTGGCTTTTCAGCAAATGTTTAAAAGTTTTGGGTGAAAGTTGATCTGTAGTAATTTCGCTACAAGTATGGTTTTGAGTAAATGTCAGGACAATCCTTTTGATAGCTGAGCTTTACTCGGTTTCAACAAATTTACTACAAATGATAACGTGTGTGTATGAGCACAAGAAGACTGAATAGTGGAACTGAATCATGATGTGGGCAAACAAAATGTTGGTTTAAAGATCAGCAGAATAATAGTCAAGTTATTAAGGAAAAAAAAGGTAATAACACAGGATATAGGTCATATTAAAGTTAGAGAATGATGTATTTAAAAAACTCCTGTTTGAACAGGACCCTTTTAAAAGCCTCTGCAGATGGACCTCCAACAATTAAAATTGTGAAGTATGGACTTGTCTTAGTTAAAACCTTGACAACTTCAAGTAAGAGATTATATCAAATCTACGGAGCCTCTAAAAACCCACTTAATCTGCTTTATGTTGTTTCTAACAACAGATATAATTTCCCTAATTGTTGTAAAACTGAAGATCAGTCAGTTTATCTAGGATTTGAGAAAAAAAAGTAAGCTTCAGATCAATAATCAGATATCACCCACACCTGCTGTTTGAACCTGTTAATGTGTCCAAACAGAAAATAAGACTCACAAACGATCAGGACTGTCAAACAAAAACCTGTTTAGTGTGAATTAAAACGATTCTACAGGCTCACCTTCCCTCTTCATGCCCATGGCCAGGCATTTCTGATAGCGGCAGTACTGGCAGCGGTTCCGCTGGCGCTTGTCTATCAGGCACTCTTTGTTGTCTCGACACGTGTAGGTGAGATCTTTACGGACAGTGCGCTTGAAGAAGCCTTTGCAGCCTTCGCAGCTGTACACACCATAGTGCTTTCCTGCGCGACATAAATCCAACCCGTCAGACCTGCTGCTGTTCTGAACCACAAAATCCGTAAATCTTTTGTTTTTGTTGTTTTTTATTTATTTTTTGGGAGAACATCTCAAGGTCTTAGATAATTACAGCGGGAGGAAAAACAGAGCAAAACTTGAGAGGATTCTTGGCAGTGCTTGGGTCCACCCTCAAATGTTACCTGAAGAGCGATCCCCGCAGATAGCACAGATGTGCTTTGACATCCCCCCCGGGCTTGTACATTGGTAGTTGATGTTTCCCAGGGACTGCAGGCCTGGCGGAGGCTTGATGTCCTCCGAACTGCTAACACTGTTCATTGAGTTCATCTGAGGATGGCAGGAAGACAGAGGATAAAACAAAGAGTTGAGGCTGGGTTGGCTGGAGCTGCGCAAAACAGAGCACAGGAGGAAGTACAGAGGAAGCGAAAGGAGTTCAGCAGTCTCATGACAGTATCTCCCTTCCCCTTTCTGTTTTTTTTTTCTGCCTTCTGCTAGATCACTTTTTTTTTTTCCTCTCCCCACCCACACACTTTATTGTGAAAGTGTCTCAGCAAACGATCACATGCTTGGTCAGAGGGAGGGGCTGAATCCGCTTTCTGAGACTTGTCATACAAGTTTTTTTTTTTTTTTTTTTTTTTTTGAGCATGGGTACTTGAAGGAGGTGTAGGAGAGGGGAATACACATGGGTGCTGCAGTACTCAAAAACAACAGCAGAGGGCACTCAGACAGAATTTCCTTTTTTAAAGCTATTTAAATATACTGTGTCCACTACAGTCAGAAATGGTCTTCACTAGTTTTCCCCCCAAAATTTACATTTGAACTGATGTACGTTTCTGTAAAATAAAAGTATTTTCTGCCTGACAGATTTCTTTGGTTTCTGCTTTAAGCTACACTTGCTGGTTTCAGATTATCGAACAGACGCTTGATAAAACCAATAAAATAACCTGTGTAAATACACAACGCAGGTTGCAGATGATAAGCTAACATATTAAGAGACATGAAACTACCCACACCATTCCAAAGCTATGTGTGAAACATATTTCTGTTTAAATAGAGAAACTGGTTGTGCCACTCAACTCCTGCCTTCCGGTGTTTACTGTTACTGCCAACAAGTCTTTAGTGGATTTTCAGGCACTTCTTCTTTGTGGAACGGGTGTTTTGTTTTCCCGCCACATCAGAGGGATTTCAAGAACGAGCAGCCTGTTTAAGGTCCATGTCACAACATCTACCAGAATTAAGTATAGACTTTGACTAGGTCATTTCAAGGCCTTCTTTTTGAGTTAGACTATTTTCTGCTGAATAGCCTAAGTGTGCGTATCCTTAAGATCAGAACAACAGTCTCCTTCAGGGTTTTCTGATAGCAATCTGAATTCATAGTTTTCATTTAATTGAGAAATGCATTTCTATGCCAAATATGCCAGATGTTTAAAATGTTTTACTTTTGTTTTGCTAGTGCATAGATATATTTTTTAAGTCTCATGTTGGTGATTTTCACCCTGAAACTCTCCTATGGAAGTCATTTTTGCCCCATCACTTTCTTATTGTTGAATCGAGTACCCAGGCCGTAGATGAGGCGGTTGAGGCCTGCAGTGCTTGAGATGTTGAGATTGCTTCTTTTGTGATAAATCATCAAGGTATTATGCAAAACTATAAAAGCGAAACCAAAGCCATTTGTGGGTCCCTTAATGCCGGCTACTACAACGTGGCCCGTATTTACCCAAAACTCTGCCTTGGAGCTGCAGGCCCCAGCCGAGCTGCAGCACCAGTGAGCACCACTTTCTTTTGAGCTGTTTTTTTTTTTTTTTTTATAAACCCAGGATTTTTACAACAAATTAAGGTAACATAGTTACTTGCTTGTGGGGGGAAAAAATGGCAGTATGTGTTTTGATAATTTTGTTCAACTTCTTTATGTATATACTCGGGTTATCTTTGTCTGACAATAAATGTTGCTCTGTGATCTGTACTTAAAAAAAGCAAAAAAAACAGGCATCTGTATAGGGGCAGATACTTTTGTCGCAGCACTGTCAGTGACAAGTCCAGCTCCAGGTTGTTACATCATGGTGTGCAATAGCAAACTTAAACTTCAACGAGGTTAACAAGGACATCAATCCACGAGAAATGGAAGTTTTTACGTAATCACTTTCAAGACCGTGAAAGCTTTCGACTCCTGCATATTTTCAGCCTCTTATCGACATCCTGCCCTTTGACCTTGAGCCGTCGGCAGCAACCCTGCAGAATGCACATTTGTCTCCCGTACTCACGTTTGTCAACGTGCAAACATCTGCAAAACAACTGGAGAGAGGCATGCCTCTGACCTATATATTTAGCTGAGAATGACATATGGATAATCCCCCTGTCCAAAGTCACCTCTAGCTCTTCCTATCACTTATTTACAACATGCACTCTGCAGATCCTCTGATGGCCAACTGGGCCTGGGTATTTCAGACCTCTAAAGGTTACCAGAGGTTTTCCTTCATGTTAGTTCTCCCTTATGTTCTCAGAGAGCGCTGGTTTTCCATGCATCTGTCACCCTCTCTCAGCGCGAGTGGCCCCGGAGGCGGATAGTCATACTTAAATGAAACATCATCTCCTCCGTACTCGCTCATCGGTGAGTCAGTGGTGAACTGCGATTCTTCTTTAGCATGCAATGGTGTTGTCACAAATAATTAATATCACAAAGACTAAAAAAGTAAACCTTTTCAGCGGTGTTGTGCAGACAGGATGCTGCTTTAAAAAAAAACAAAAAAAAACAGTAAACCACTACATATAAGGACTACAAGCTCTTAGTATGGATTATTGATGGATCATATATTCTTTATTCAACACAAGAGCACATTGCTTCATTTAGGCTAGGTTTATATGGGCTTTAAAGGGGGGCAGACTCCACTATGACCTGTGAATCAAGCACTTTCAAAAGTCTGAGAAATGAGAAATCATTTTGACAAGAAGATAAAGCAATTTAAACCAATTTCAAGCAAGTTGGAAAGAAATTTCACATTTTTTGTGGAAATTTCTGCTCTCATCAGAATTAGTATGGGGGGGGAAAAAAAGGGGATCGCTTCCAAATTTGTCAACTTCACCACAAATGATGAGCCAGATGAATTTGGGTCACATCTTGGGGTTCTAACTGGACAAAGATGTTAAATAAACATCACAACATGTTTTGCACTGTGTCAAGTAGGACAACATTAGCCTTCTGGAATGACTCCGACCTCAATCCTTTTTAACCAGTTTGGCCCAGAAGCTGGGTCATTGCTGGGTACCCATTCAGATCAAATGACCTCTACTGATTCTAACAAGAAGAGACCTGAGATTGTGGCTGAATTCATGCAGGAAATGTGGTTACTCTGCGTCTTGCTATAGCCAAATATTTATTACCAAATATTTAAAGGTTACTGAGCCCTGAGCTAAATAACTGGAAGCTTACAATAATAATAATAATAAAAAAAAAATCAATTCATGTCAATTGATTCTGACCCAAAACACAGTTCCTCACTAAACTAAACATACAGTGAGGTAAAGAAAAAGAAAAAACACCGTTGATATCAATAAATAAATTAATCTTTGACAGTTTTTGCTTAGAAAGAACTAACAATTGATGAGTTAATTTAGAAAACCATTGACCTGAATTGTTAATGAAATCAACCATCAGTTGCACTCTTTTAAATACAAATAAACATGGAACCAACTCATCCTTAAAAATTAAAGCCAGTAAAGGATTTTAAGAGCCAGTAACTAGTATGTTCTGTAAAAAAAAAAAAAAAAAATGTCCGTATCAGCAGTGACCCATTTATAGAGAAGAAATGATTCATGAAAACTTTTAACACCCTCTATGAGCAATATTAAAACCAAGATAGAGACGGGGTTATCTGAGGTTATGCACTTCCACACCAATACTTAGTTTTTGCCCGTGCCTTTGGAAATAAAAATGTAAAAAGTGACCTGACAGTATGAGCATTCTTGCCCCTTTGCTTTTGGCAAACAGAGAAAAAGAAACTGTGCCATCAAACACCCACATCTACCCAGACTGTCGCTGTAGGCTGGATCCATACCACGACTGAAGTAGTTTATAACGCTGATTGCTGCTTCCTGCAGCAAGGACCTCAGTTCAGCCACTGCCATGTGATCATGTGTATTCACAGCTGATTCCTTATGGGGCTGTCCTTCATTCATTCAGTAGTGGAAAACAATAAAGAGGAAAGACAATTATGGATTTAACAAAAAGAATTCAGAAAAGTATGACATCCATTTGTATTCAGCCTGCTTTAACTTCCTTCCAGACTGAATCTGTGTTTCATAATCCCTGTACAAATGCAGACGTTCAGTGACGCCTCCGGAGTTCTGGCCTTGACGAATAAATGACAAGAAAGTCATAGGTCAAGTTTGCATGTATAGAGGACACAGCAAATGTGGAAAAAAAACAATCTGCTCTGGTCAGATGAGTCCAAACCGAATCTTTTAGCCTGCATAAAAAAAGGCTTTCAAATGCAGAAAACTAACACTAAACAATCCCCGACATGAAACACGGTGAAAGTAGCATCATGTTGTTGGGATGCTGTTAGTCACAGCAGGTCAGAGTTGATGGAAAACTGGATGGACCAGAATCCCATAAGAAAGGCAGCAGGAAGCTGCAAAGTATTAAAAACTGGGGCAAAGGTTTACCTTTCAGCAGGACAATGACTCGAAACGTACGGACAGATTTAAATTATGTTTTAGATTAAAAGGTGTTTTAGATTAAAACGTCCACCGCTCAGATCAGACGACGGTGGACCAAATGTCCACCGTCTGATCTGAGCTACTTTGCATAGTTCAGTCCTGTTCACTTCCAATTATTTTGCTGTTGTAATTGTACAAACAAATGGTTCTACAAAGTATAGAATCAGTACACAAAACAGTAAAGTTTCTGATTCTAACATAAAAAAATGTATGAAAGTTCATACATTACCATGTACCATATATATGTTCTTTATCCATATATATGGATAAAGAACAGAGGAAAGCCGTTGTGGTGGATGTAGCAATACCAAGTGACCACAACATCAGGAAAAAGGAGCATGAGAAACTGGAGAAATACCAGGGCCTCAGAGAGGAACTGGAGAAGGCCTGGAAGGTGAAGACCACAGTGGTGCCTGTGGTCATCGGGGCCCTCGGGGCAGTCACCCCCAAACTGGAGCAGTGGCTACAACAGATCCCAGGAACAACATCAGACATCTCAGTCCAGAAATGTGCAGTTCTAGGCACAGCCAAGATACTGGAGGAGAACCCTCAAGCTCCCAGGCCTCTGGTAGAGGACCCGAGCTCAGAGGATGAAAAAGAGGTGTCAGGTTTTTCTCTGCAGGTATAGCGGGACTGCCCCTCTGCATCACAGCAGTACTTCACAACTCAGATGACCTTTAGGGCAAGAAGTTTAAAGGTCAACAGAAAGGTTAAGGAGAAAGAGGAGGGCCTAAGTGAGCTAGTGGACAGACCCATACATCAGGCTCTGATCTGCTCTAAGATATTCCACAAATGAGAGACACATGATCAAGAGTTAAGCATGTCAAGTTCTCCAAGTACTTTGTTTTCAGACTAAAAATGTTGTAAAGTAGAAAGTGTAACTTTAAACAGCTTGAAGGGCAGAAAAATAAAACACATATTAGAACCTTTCAAACATATATATATGCTACTTCTTGAGAAATCTCAGTCTCTAGCTTACATCCACACATTTCTCACCTGTGGACTGCTGATTGGTCCAAAGTTCATGTTGGGAGTAGACTGGAGGGGTATGGAGGGTGATCCCAGAGACGACGTGATGACGGGATAAGGCGATGCCAGGCCGTTCATCGGCGAGCCCAGGGTGGACATGGGGGACGGTAGGGGCCTGGAGCTGCTGATGACTGAAGGATGTCCCACCATGCCAGCCATGGAAGGGGGATGCGCGTGGCCTGCATTCATTGGCCCTGCCGAGTCTGGATAAGACAAGAGTGTAGTGAGTGACTGAGCAACCTGCTTAACTCCACAAACTTTGACCTCATGAATTACTTATTGAACCGAATGCGCTGTGTTAATCATAACTCAATCACACTGCAGTTTCCTTCCAAATGATGAATCAAAGTCTAATATTTACACATAGTTTATAGCCCATTAAGGATTCCGCCGACTCACGGGGAAAATATCTCTCTTCTGGGCTGCTAAACGATCCACCAGCTTATCTGTCATCTGGTTGAACAGTTGGCTTTCTGCAGGTTTATGATAGTCTTTAAAAGGAAAAGATTTAACAGACTTACAACCAAAAACATTAAGCTGACAGATACTAAAAACACTGATCCCAGTTGTGAAAACAGTACCTCGTTGCCATGGAAAGTAAGAATAATAATAACTAGCATCCAAAACCAGTAGAATATGTCCAAAAGATCAACACCTCAAAAAAAAAACAAAATATATATATATATAAACAAAAGACTACAAAGAAAATAAATTCAAACTAACATAACAAAGCTACTCCAACTTGCTGCCACCATGAGCAGCGCAATTACAGAACACTCCAGTCCTCAAGAGCAGGGGTCCTACAACTTTCAATGTGTTCCAGGGTTCATACGCCTGAATCAAAGGACTGAATTACCTCCTTATGCACTCAAGAGTCCTGATAATGACCCAATTATGTGACTCAGGCATGTTGACACAAAGACACACATCTAAAAGCTGCGGGACGCCGGCCCTCAGGTAGTTTGACATCTGTGCTTTAGAACATTCGCTGTTTAACCTACAGACAGATTTTCAAAGTAAATCTTAAAGTGATTACATTATTGCAGGGCTTAATGATATCAGCAAAAATATGTCTTTATAATTGTATCACTGAAAATTGTTCTGATAATTTCTTTATCATTGCACAATGTCCTTTCTAAACTAAGCCTGTTCAATTGGATGATATATATAATTGACATGAAATTTTCAATGTGTTATCCTACTAAAAAAAATGATTCCATGCTGTCTCCTGCCAATGTTACGTTGCCGTGGCGATTGGGATGTACACACTGGGGCTCAAAATCAATATGTCACTTGACATATTGAGCTCTCCTTTCTGATTATGAAGAAAGAAAATAAACCTTAAAAAATAAGTAATATTGCCAAGTATTAGTTTAAACATTAGTCAATCAGCAGGCTATCATGTGAATGAGCTCATCTCATCTCATTTCAACATTCTTGGTCCAGCTATGTTAAGTTTTCTCTGGGTCACAATTTGACACCTAAATATTATTATTCGTAACCCTGACAAAAACGTCCACACAAAAGTTTTAAAATATGTAAAATTGTATTACTTATTTTTTACTTGTTTTTTTTTCATTAAAAAAATCAAACTGTTAATGTGAAAACATTTATTCTATAAGGATTTTTTTTTTAAACAGCACTCTTCCCTATTACCAAACTACCAGAAAAACTACAATAATAAAAAAAATCAACTTTCTAAAAACCCTTCACATTAAGTGTCTTATTTAAATATTTCATGCTCAAATAATACATTTACCAACAAAGTTGCTTATGTTAGTGTAATGAGCATAAATGCTGATATCATTAGGTTTGTTCATACCTAATATGTATAATTCCCAGACACTTACACGGCTATTTCCAAGTTTATCTGTAAATTAATGTAACACTATGTAATAAAGGATTAATTCATTTTAGGGGTGTTTTCCACATCTGTATCAGATGTGCCGATAAATGTGCAGGGCGCCGCATGTCCGTTTGACTCGGGTATTCTAAACAACTTCTGTGATTAGCTGAAAAAACGAAATGTTCTAGCTCAAGACAGATGATTAACACACATAGTCTTTGATGACAATGCTGCAAATTCAGTGATTGACTACAAAGATCCTCAAATAAATTGTGGCTGTAAGGGGGGAAAAAAAGATTAAAGCCAGCTGAGATCATGCTAACGAAAGAAGCCATGTGTTTCTGCGCTATCAGTGTTCGCTGTGTATGGCTATACTGTTGGAAGCCCACCTGATTTCGGTCACAGGGCGCTGACTTTGCCTTGCATCCAGTGATGTAAACTGACAGGCTGGCATTTACACAGATGACCTACTTAGAAAAGCTGTCAGTCAGCTGGTTAACAGGGCATACAGTGTAATTTCATGCATGTGTCGTAGCTGAGAGCCACACAACTTTCACCAAATAACAATGTACTTGTAAAATATGTACGACTGCGTACCACACACACAAAACCACACTCTGGCCACAGGCTATCCCAATGCAGCAACAACAATCTAGGCTGATGTTGTTGACTCAGAAAAAAAAAAAAAGAAGAAAACCGAGTTGCCTTAAGCAAAATGTTACTGATGAACAATGACATGTCTATTGTAAGCATGTAAACATTTGGATCAGACTGCATAAGCTGCTGCCTTTGTGTCAGTGCCTTCTCCCACCAAACACACTGACACACACACACACACTCAGTGTGATAATGGGCGCAGTGCCAAAGGTCGTATTTAAATGTCAGATTCTCGTGTCTTGTGTGTTAGGAAGTGGGAGTGTGATAGCAAAAAAAACACAATCAACAGCATCTCGGACTTGAATTCTGCGACAATCTTTGTTTTGTTCTGCAGCGCCGTTACAAGTAGGCATGCTGAGTCAAAATACAACAAATGTTCTAAAAGTGAGACAGTATCTTATCTGACATGGAGAAGATCTGCTCTTTGCAAAGAAACTCCAACTCTTCAGATCTCCATCCTCTGTGTTTCATTTATCAAAGATGTCGCTGCAGTTGTGGAAAGCAAGAAATACGCAGCGAGATTATCTAGACCTTTGGTTCTTGACAACATAAATTATTCACAAAATTACTGAGAGAATAAGAGGTGTTGTTCATAAGAGGTTAAAGCAGAAGCAGTTTCCACAATTTAATAATTCATCGTGTCATGTTCCTTGGGTGTTTTGATCTTTATGTTTGAAAATTTTCTAGTGGTCTTGCCATATTTAAGTAATCTCTCTGTGTTTGTTGTTGTTGTTGTTAAGGTGCTGCCACAGTAGTTCATTCCTTTGGATTTAATTTACCAATTTATTCTTCAGATATGTTTCTTGTGCATGTAAATATATATTTTCTTATACATTTTTGTCAGGCGTTTTCTCTTTTTGGTTTCTAGAGCCTTGAGTCTTTGTTCAGTTTGCTCTCCTTGCCACAGCTGTACCATATCTTCCTGAAATAGTTTATCTGGCTCTCTTTACTGCCTCAATATAAGTTGTTGATTTTTCATTGTCCTGTACTTGAGCCTTCCGTTTATACGCCTGCTATTTTTGTCCTCGCTCCAGGTCCCGTTCAAAAAACCTGTAAGTTTCTTTTTTTATTATAAACGTTAAAAATGCCCCATTTGAGAAACAGCCTGTGCCTTGACTCACACTAACTAAACTTGACACTTAAACGGTTTCCGACCTTGACTTGAGTCATTGGCAGTTACTTACCTGTATAAATTTTACGTGGTTGGAAAGCTATTATTCTTTTTCCAACGTTTTGCGCCATTGCCATTTTATTTGATCTGGAGGGAATGCAAGCACAAAAACAGACTCTAAGAAGTTTTTCTTGCCCAGAGGCAGCAGTTGTTCCAGACACTCAATTCTAAATGACTTTAATTTGTCCAATTCTGAGAAAAAACAAACCTTTAAAACTGTTCTTTTTTTTTTTAAATGACAATTTTTTTATTTTTTTTATTTTTTTAGTGTTTTCCCAATGTTGTGACTTCAGGTTCTTAGTATTTTGAAAGCCACCAATGGAACAAATTGCTTGTTATTTTGCAAAGATTTTGAAATCCTGTCCTAATACTTAACCTCTGGCAGCAATACAGGCCCCATCAGTTTTTTTTTTTTCCTTTTTTCCCACTTTATTTTTCAGACAATAACATCATTTTAAAGGAAACGGAAAGTCCTAGTAATGTGAGGAGGGTCATAATGTTTGCCTGCTGCCTCCCTGGCTGGATGTAGCATTTTTTTTTTGTACAGACACTTAATGAACACAGCTGGCCATTCAGTCCCTCTCTGTTTGCCGAGCTACAGGTATTGCACAACTTCCTGTTTAGGACTGAGACTATGGCCTCCACCCCTATTATACTTATTCACTTTCTCTAACCCTACAATCAATGATCCCTTGCAGATAAAAATGCAGAAGTCCCTCTTCTTCTAACCCCAGAAAAAAGACTGGATGAAAAAGAGTTCTAGAAAACATGTTGAGCATTAAAGTAAAATTTTAAAGAAAAATATAATGATACCTAGATTTCAATTTAACAATAGTGGGAGTGTTCCCTCACTTTGGAGTGCATGTGGAGCCAGTCAACAAGATTACATAATAGATGACCACTGTACAGCATGTACTGTGTCTGATTCTGTGCACTGACCTCTCTCTTTATGTGCATGACAGATTCCCCTCGGGTTCACAAACATCTTGTCTGGTAAGCAGACAATATGACAAAAGGGCAGCAGTCACAACAAACATTTGGAAAACATAGCAGAGCAATTACAACAGTCCCTGATAAAAATGTATGTGTGTATATATATATATATATATATATATATATATATATATATATACACACACACACACACACACACAGGAAGTTTTGAAGAGGGCTGTCTGTCTCAGTTCCAGTTGTTTTAACTATTGCTCTGACTAAATATGGGCAACTATAAGTAAGAAAACATTTTCCGGTCTTCACATTGACTTGCGAAGAGAGGGACGGCATCTGTGATTTAGCAAGAAAAAAAAACAGTTTCTTATTATTGCATATTTATTTTTACTGAATAAATGCTTGATCAACTTTCTTTGTCACATATAAGGAACTGCAACTCTAAAAGTGCAGTGACAGTTTTCAGAGAAAAGGACTTTGTGAAGGAGGTCCTGGGAACTCTTAGACTTTTCCCGTATGATTACACTTATTATTAGGAACACGAGCTGTCACTAGTAATATCCCAGCTTATAATAGCTTAT